GTGAGTTGCGTTAGGGAGGCAGCTGAGGTGTATATGCAGCTGAGGTGTACATGCAGCTCTACAGTTTATACTCGTTCTTGTCAATGATCATCTGCGGTGTATCGACAGGCGTCATGCGGCGGGTGTATGTACAGTGCAGAGTGTTGATGAGTTTCATTGCAATGCATGCACGTCACCAGCTTTAAATTTTTTGGGGGCTGGAAGAGTATTCTGCAGTGCACAGTATAAATAGCTTGAGTTGCTGCTGTATGTGCTGCTGCTGCTGCTGCGGGGTGTATGTACAGGTTGCTGCAGCTGCTGCACGAAACGCCGCTGGGATGGCGGGCCATTCCCGACGTGTTGAACAGTTTGTGGGGCCCTGCTCTTGAGATCCGGCAGCAGCAGCCGCAGCAGCTGCAACCGCAGCAGCGTCAGCAGCAGCAGCAGCAGCAGCAGCATCAACAGCAGCAGCTACAGGGTATACAAGGAGAGGGTGATGGTGCTGGGGGTGTTTCTCCTGCCTTGCCTCCTCCTCTGTTAGTACTAGTATTCTATATTGGCGGCGTATCGCATGCAGAAGTAGCAGCTATACGCAGACTAAATGAAATGGAAATGCTAGGCCAAGTGAAAGCAGAGAGAAACCCTCCACACACAAGAGTACAGTACCTCATCATCACCACGGAGATGCTCACCACCAGGCAGCTCTTCAAAAGCATGATAGAAGACGTCGATTAACATAATTACATACACAAATATACAACACAGAAAACCTCCAGATACACCCCAGCGAACCTCCATATACACCCCAGAAAACCTCCATATACACCCCAGCGAACCTCCATGTACACCCCAGTGAACCTCCATATACACCCCAGCGAACCTCCATATACACCCCAGCGAACCTCCATGTACACCCCAGGGGACCTGCATGTACACCCCACCGCACCTCCCTCCCTATACACCGCAATGCACCTCCCTATACACCCTAACAAATATAAAAGCTTTTGCTGCAACCCCAGGCAGAGGCCGACTCAGAAGATGACAAATGTTGCTGCGGCAACAGCCGCAGCAACAGCTGCAGCAATAGGTACAGCAACAGCTGCAGCAACAGCAGCAACAGCTGCAGCAATAGGTGCAGCAACAGATACAGCATTTGCTGCAGCAACAGCTGCAGCATAGCTCCGGCGTTAGGTGCTCTCACTAGCGCTAGCTGCTGCTGCTGCTGCTGCTGCTGTTGCTGCAACAGAAGCACGGAGCAGCTGCTCCAGCAACTAGAGCAGCAGCAAAGGCCCCAGCAGCTGCAGCACTTCCTGCTGCAGCAGCTGCATGGTTTCGAGTTGCTGTTTGTTTTTTTATTACTTTGGGGTTTGTTGTGGCTATGGTTTAGTATTGAAGAGGGATGA